GATCGTTGAATATAACCTGCTCTGCAAGAGGCAAACGGATACCCCTTCTGTTAAAAATCACTAACCCAAGAAGAAAGGTTTTCAGTTAAACCCTCTTTGCAGCTTAACTGCTGGCAGCGAATATTACCTTCCCCTGCTCCCTGATGTTCTCTAGTACCGTATTTTAAAGTGCTCAGAACTTCCGTGGCAGAGGGTGGGAAGGGTGAATTTGGGTGATTTGGCTGCTGTCATGTTGTGCTGACGCTGTTTCCTCTGGTGGTGCTTGTTGCTGTCATGTTGTGATCTGCTTTTTAGCATGGGATCTTAAACTAGCTTAAGGGGTATTGCAGAGTGTAAGCACTTCATCTGTTTGATTCACATGTACCTCTCTTACTCCCCACACCCCCAAGCCTCTTGGTGTAGTTTTGAAGTTACTATAATGTCTCCTCATCTGTCTGTTTAAAGCTTGTGCAAGTTTCATTGCCCTTCCTTATTATAATTGAAAGCTGTATGTTGTATCAAGAATAATACGATGGCCAGCTTCATGATCCAAGTAGTTTTAGGTGTCATGTGTGCTGGGAGTCCTTGCCAGGATCTGCTTTCTCTCTGTCTTTTTGTCTGTGCATGTATTTTGCAATGGGGAAACAACTATCTTGCCTCTTTTGCTTCATTAATTGAGATGAGGGTGGAGTACAGAGTTGATTAGCTGCGTAATTCTAAGTAATGGCTTGGAGGAAAGAAAAATGGCAAAAAGCTTACTGAATGCAATGGCAGTCTTGCCTCCTTCCTCCTCTGCTGCAATCCTTACCTGACCCTGATGCTGCAGCAGAGAGCTGGTCTGCTGCTGCTTCTCCTGAGTGTGTGCAGAGTAGGTAGGAGGGAGCAGAATGAAATTATACTTCACAGGTCACCAGCAGGTTGCACAAGTTGCTGTCATCTCTCTTTTCCCCTTTCCCCCCTTTTCTGTTTATTTTTTTGGTAGCTGTGTTAACCTCAGTTTTTAAAAATTTTAACTACATTTAGAACAGACAAAGCAGCTGTCATGAATTTCTCAAAAAACACTTTAGATCGTATTTTGTGAAATGCTTTTGGATATTTGTGTAATAACTTTTAGTTTTGTTTCTTGGGAGGGGGAAGCATAGCTAATTTATTTGGTTTTTGTCATTCTGACTGCACAGCTTATTTTCACAATCTGGATCACTTGGGAATAATTCTAGATACTACTTCAGTCTAAAAAAGACCTCATTACAGGATTATAGGATTACTGATGACACCTAAGATTGACATGTTCAGTCAGTGCATTCTGTAGTCAGAATCAGCTGTACAATAGGTGCGTGCTTTATAAAGGATGTGTTTGCATTCTTTCAAATCCCAAGCTGCAATGTTGCAATTTCTTTATATTTATCTGGTAATTTATGACTTGGGTAAATGGACAAACCTTGACTAGAAATGGCTCTTCATGTTTTAAAGGTAATGTATTTTACTTTAGCCTCTGAATGCTTATGTTCTACAGCTCTTTGGTAGCAGGCTTGTTAACAGACTTGATCAGTAAAGTAGTGCAATCAAACTTTCTCAAATGTTTTTATTTTCAAAATAAGATACCATAGAGTGTAGAAGCTGAAATATGACATGTGACATAGGAAGAGCTTAATGACTTTTGCCATAAAGCTTGGAAGTGGTCCTGTGCACTTAGTCTGGAAAATCTAATTTGTGATTGCATGGGTTTGATTAGAAGTTGTTTAATTTCAAGAGGAAGAAAATTAATAAATAGACATGAATCCCTGCTACTAATTTATAATCACTCTTAAAATTGGTATTTCCTCAAAATCTGTTTGGGTAACCATCACACTTTTTATATTAAATGATGTATGACCATATTTTTTGTGGTTTTGGTGAAATTAAGTTTTAAACTTAGAAACCTGAGTGTAATTTTGAACTTCTGTGCAGCCTCTTATGTTGAATCTGGAAAGTTTGTTTCTAAACCAGTTTGTTTGTCCTTATCCAGTCACTCAACATGTCTATGTATATATCTCTGTATTGCCAGTCTTGGGTCAGTCTGTCTTAACTTGATTTATGAAAGACCTCTGTAACTTGCAGCTCCAGGATCACTGGGCTGAATTACATTGCTGGCAAAGATGTTAGTTGTTAAGAGGTTATTCTGAATCTTGTGTCTAGTACACCTTGTCATGTCAGTTGAGGAGGTCAGGGTGCTGCACTTCACGTACATATGCAATCAAAGTGGCAGAATGACAGATATGCTACCTTGTGGTAAAACAATTCCAGAATTGGATTGGATGAACTTTGCATGGTTTCCTAAAGCAGAATGAACTTAGATTCTGCTGGAGGGTGTGAATTTAAGGTGTCTTGATTTTTCTTCTTGAAATACCCTGCCCTGTGTGTTGGAAGCTCTGTGCTCCTGATGATACACTCAACTAGTTTTGATTTAGTAGGTGCTAGCATGCAGAAGGTTGTATTACACATAGGGAGTTTTTAAGTAAATACGTAAAAATGCAGTTTGAATGTATATTGCTGTGAAATTCCTGTACCAAGCAGCAGGCTTTACGTGAAGGTATAGGCTTATGTGCACCTTTTGCCACAGTCACTGGCCAATAAAAATTCCTATAACCCACAAGTTACAGCATTTATACTGAAGTGTTCATCAGCGTCCAGGTGCTTGGAACAGACCCTTCAGTATGTATTCTGGGATTTAATGAAAATTATGTGGTTGCTTGTATGAAATTAAATATAACAGCATGCAGTTTAAAAATGAGGCAAGTACGTCTGACTCAGCAAATGCAGTGTTTAGCATTTAATTAAGTGCTGACTATCTTCATGAAGTCTCATAGTAGAACGGCATAACGAAGTAACTTTTAAACTAAAAACTAGCTTTCTACGAATCTGGGGCTTTATATGTGGCTACAGAGAACTTCCAAATCTATAGGCAGAGCATATTAAATAGTCTTAATGCGAGTGAGCCTCCCCTATATGTAGAGTTCTGTTTTATTGTATTACTGTATTTTCAGTGCAAGAGTTGTGAGAGAATTTATAGGATTCATAATATGGACATTTGTTTCTTCCTTATATTTGTCTACATTTTGCAGCTACAGTGTTGTTTTGGAGTTTTCTGAAAACAGTTAATGTAAACAATGCTGTTAAGGAAAGAATGGCTTTTGCTAGCTGGATTAAATTAAAATGTCTGTTTACAGAACAAGTTATTGTTTTATTACAAATACTTGAAATGCACAGAACTGTTATCAAATATAACTTGCATGAGTACAGGCTGGAAGCAAGAGACAGGATCCAATCTTCATAGATGAATAGGGTTCAGTATGAGAGCCAATTAAACATCCAGGCCCTGCATTTGTATCAGGGATGTTTCTTTTCATTTTGGCAGTCAGTTGAACTTTCATATTTATAAATCTGAAAATGCTTAAGCTTTAGTCAAACCTAAAGAATCACAAATTCATTAAATGAATTGATTAGTATTTCTACTATTTGGGTATAGTAGAAATTAATACTCACCAATAACCAGCTGCTCTTTTGTTACTAATACTGTTGTGTAAAACATGGTCTGGACTTTATATTTAAAGAGATTTTTGAGGGGGTAGAGGGAGGAGAAGGTATGGGACCAAAAGTGTTTCTTTGTACTCATTTTCTTCACAGTTACAGAGGAATCTTTTTAACACGTTGAAAATAATTTTGATAACTGCATCAGTTCAGTTTTTTTCCTATTTATAATTTACTCAAGTTTTAAATATAATTGAAATGCAAGATGACTTGAATAAATGAATAAAAATAAGGTCCAAGTCTTGTGTAATCATTATTGTTAGTTATGGGTTGCTTGCCATAGCTTTATAAATGTAGTTTCAGGTTAACTCAGGTTTAGATTGTGCTGTGAAACTGCTGAATCTTCTACTTTGCAAGACAGCATGTTTATTGAGAATGAAGATTTTCCGCTTCTGTTTTTATTTATTTTCCTTTGATTTGAAGTAACTATACAATTCTGTTAACATCTTCAAAAGTTCTCCCTCAAATTTCTGGGGAAAAAAACACTAATACCTCAAATACATTTATCTACTCACTATGTCACTACTGTCTTAATTGCATTTTTGGCTTTTTTCTACCTGCCTCCGCCCCCCAGTTGTCCTGCAGAATGAATAAACACCTGATCAAGATGTTCCTTCAGGTTTCTTATATAGGTTTTTATAGCCACCAAATTTTTTGTTGGAGTGGTAATTTCCATGATAAGTAATGAAAATTGTTTGTTAAATTGTTGAGTCACCAAAATGTATTTTGTCAGTGGGAGCTCTTTATACGTGTTCATGCTGATAGTGTATTTTTGAGAAAATGCCTCCTGTTCCTGAGAGTTTGTATCACAAATGCGTGCCCCTCTGCACACCTTAGAATGAGAAGTGCCTTTGTGTTTCCATTCTGTATTGTGGGGTACCTAGTTATTAATGATGGATGTAATACTAGTAACTTGGATCTCATATTTTGCTTTTGATTTTACTGAGTTGTGTAATCACCATATGGCATGGCACTTAGAGGCAGCATACTGTAAGAAATGGTAGTGGTTAATAATTTGACTTTTCATCAGTTGAGGATTGTTTTTCGTGTGCTTGGCTTTGTTTGTTTGTTTGTTTGTTTGTTTTTAGTGCATGTATAATCCATGCACTGTTTTAGTAATTTTCTTATACCAGTGGGTCTAGAAATTATTTATTTAAAATATTAAAAAAAAATAATAAATATTTTCAGCTCTCTAGCTGAATGGAAATTGTCTAACAAGTCAGTAGTAGGTTAAGTATTGGGATGATGGAACTTAGGAAAACTAAAAGTGGAAAGAATTTATGATGACTTGTTTGGTGTGGGATGGGAATTGGTGAACGTTTCAAGTAATCTCACGAAGATTTTTGCATACTGCAGTATCTACAGTGTGAATGGATGTCTGAATGCATTGTTTTTTTTACTACAGCGTTAACTCTGTTCTCTCCCTGCCTCTTCTTTTTCCTTTTTAAAGGTTGCAACAAACTTTCTTGTAAGAAAGTACCAGTATCGTCACAAATGAATCCTTTCAACCTTTCCGTAACTGTAAAGTAATTGGAAGTTTCAGTCAGCAGACATTTCCCTGCCTTTTCTGACTCCTCAGGATGGATATTTTTGAGGTGCATCCAAGCAGTATGTGGAATCCTTTGATTTGTGTTTGAGGTGTGAACAGCCTCTGAAAGATCTGCTAAAAGGATAAGGAGGAACCTCTATGGGTAACCCTTGGCTGGAAACAATTACTGGTCAACCATGGTAAAACTTGCCAACCCTCTTTATACGGAGTGGATTCTTGAAGCTATACAAAAAGTTAAAAAGCAAAAGCAAAGGCCTTCTGAAGAGAGAATATGTCATGCTGTTTGTGCTTCCCATGGATTAGATAAGAAGACTGTTTCGGAACAGTTGGAACTTAGCGTTCAAGATGGTTCTATTCTTAAAGTTACCAACAAAGGCCTTGCATCCTACAAGGACCCAGATAATCCTGGACGGTTTTCATCTGTTAAACCTGGGACTATTCCTAAATCTGTTAAGGGAACTAGAGGAGCTTGTAATGAGCTTCGTAATGTGGATTGGAATAAACTCTTGAGAAGAGCAATTGAAGGGCTTCAAGAACCAAATGGCTCCTCCCTGAAAAACATAGAGAAGTATTTGAGAAGTCAAAACGACCTAGCAAATATTTTCAACAATCCTGCTTTTCAGCAGAGGTTGCGTCTGGGGGCCAAACGTGCTGTGAACAATGGGAGATTACTGAAGGATGGACCTCAGTATAGAGTGAATTATGGCAGTTTGGAAAACAAAGGAGCTGCAAAATACTCCAGCACTTTCCCAGCTTCTCTTCCACCTGTCAGCCTTCTACCCCATGAAAAAGACCAGGTAAGCCTGAAAAATGAAAGTATATGTAATAATGCAAAAATTATTATTCTTTGTTTATTTACCTAATGCAAAAATAATTATTCTTCTTGTTATTTATGTGCTTAAATGTATGTAAGTGAGGTTGCGTGTCAAAGATCCGTGCAGAATCGGTTCTGGTGAAGGAAGTTTACTTACCTCCCTGTGTCCTGCCATTCTGCGTTGGGTAGTTTGCTCTTTGGATTTTCAGTAGATAAACAGAGCAGCAGGGAAGAGTACAGCTGTATGATCTTTTCTAGGTGTGAGATTGTTCTGTCTTGCCGGGCAGACTGGTGTTGCTGAAATCTGCAGTGTGATTTGATTGTAGCCTTTTACCTTCATTTTGCACCTGGATGTACTTGATTTTCTTGTAGTTTAAACACTGTCTGAAATACTACCCATAGAACTCTTGATACTAAGACTGTTAGAATTATTATTTTTAAAGGTATTTGGATGTAGATATTTAGCTTTAAAACTACAATTAGTAGGAACTGGGCTTAATGTAAATATTCTAGGAATATAAATGAAGATGTCAGAGTGACAAATTGAGCTAAACTGCAGAATCCTCCTCCTATTTCAGTTTTTCTGGACTTCCAGCATGGGTTAAGTTTTGCTATTACTTGGGCCCTGTTTTCAGGTTAATTATGCACAGGGTTGAAGCCTTGAGGGAGAAAGGGGTGTCAATTAGTGTTTTGTTTATGAAAGGGTAGTGTCAAAGACATTGATTTGTAGACATTCTTTGATCATTCCCCATTCACTGTGGTGAAGTGTGTTTTGAATTTTCAGTGTACTTGGGGGGCGGGTGGGGGTGGGGGACAGACAGGGAAGCTACCGCCCGTACTTGAATTGGGTTACTTAGAATACTTGTAAGTTGGTAGTTTGGTGATATGGTTCCACACCTACCACCACTCTTAACCTAGACAGCTTTGCCATTGTACAAGTACCATTAGTGTCTCCTGCTAGAACTGCATGGTGGTTTTCAGTCGCCTTTTCCTTCAGATGATTGTAAGGCATTGGAGGGTGCGGAGCAGGAAATGCTTGTGTTAAAAATATTTAGTGAATTCTAAAAGTACAGTTGTTTGTGGAACTGTCAGAGGTGACATTACAAATGTTGGCAGCTGTAGGCCGATTTCTGTGAGCTTCTCCAAATAGATGTTAAATATGATTGTTTTTATATGTGGAGATCTATCTATTTCTGTCAAATTGGACTTCTCTGGTATGTGAAGGATGCATGGAGCTTCACACTCAGAATGGAAATTCAGAAGTGTTGCTTACTGTGCAATTACTACTGTAGCCATGCACTATAAAGAATTAATTACTTGTAGCAGTAAAGCTGTCTGTTTCAGTACTTTCAGAGATTCTGTAATTCTGATACTTTAGTGATATGAAAAATTTGAAAGCTGGAGTACTGAGCAGCCAAAATATTGTGATACTGTGATGCTGTGATGAATTCTGTGGAAACAAAAATCTCCCCTGTTAGGCTACCTGCTGGGACTGGCATCCATTGCAAGGAATGTTAGTTGGGTCCCAGTGCTGAAAAAGCCTTTACTACCATACTAAAATACTGGTATAAGGATAAATCTGTCTTTTAGAAGTTAGCCAAACAAATCTGTTCTCTAGCGAGTGCTTTGGCAAGAAATAAGCTTTCATTTGGGTGCCTCAAAATTAGCAGTGAGTTGTGTGTTTAAAGACTGTTCATCATACACTTTTTTTTCCTGACAAAAACAGTTTTGATGTGAGGTTGGCGAATCAGTAGTTGCCTATCAGTGTAGTGCACTGCTTAGTTGTACTAGTTGTGGCACAGGTTACTGGACAAATATATGTAAACTTGGTTTAAATATGGGATTTTTGCTGGTCTTCAAACTATATGGCTTTAAATACACTTAAAGGACCGTTCTGAAAGTAACTAAATAGGTGTCTGTTATTGTGATGTGACTGCATGTTCACTTGAAATTGATGGTAATTCTTGAATGAGCAGAACAACACTGCAGGAAAATGGTTAGGCTGTTTTTACTGGGAGTATTTAAGTGTCAGTATGGGACATGTCAAGATTATTTGTTGAATTTTATGCACTAAAACGTAGCCAACTGGCATCTCTCAGGAATGGCTAGTCTTGAAAGAGATTGGTGTATTTTAAAGTTTCTTTAGCTGTTTATATAGCTAGCACAAGTAAGGCCTGCTTTTTTGTTTGGGTGGTTCTTTTTATTTGTTTCTTTGTTGTTTGTTTTTAAATACTAGAGGTGAAGTTCAAGTATCTCCTCTGACTTTCCTTGAGAAGAAAGAACAGGAGGATGTGCAGAAATCTGTTTAGGAGTCTGGAAGTTTGAGTAATTTTGACTTTTTAAATGTATAATTAATATCTCATTAGGATCAGAGAGTTAAAAGATTTAGTGCATTAGAAGTACATCAGAGCTTTCTCTTTGTCAATCTGAGTTTTCACATTCATAGTACTAAATGCTGACTCTGAACCTTTCTTCCTGAGTGCTAGAAGGTCATCAGAAGAGATAGTGTTTTTTCTTTCGTTTTCATTTTGGTTTGGGTTTCTTTGTTTTTTCTTACTCCCCCACTCCCTCCTATGCCAAAGGCAACAGAATATCTAACTGCACAAGGTACTATTCCAATGCAGTGCCACTGAAGTTAGTTTGACTATGTTACAGGGGTGCTGAGTGTTTGGCACTTGATGAAATACTGACATGGAACAGGAAGCTGGAAGTACTAAATTTTCCTCTCAGTGGTGGTGATACGGAGCCACTTTTCTTGTCTTCCTGTTAACCAGGTGATCCAATGCAACTAGATATAGTCCTCTTGTTTCATTAGATGTAGAAGTAGCTGCAGTTAGTCACAGCAAAATAGCTTGTATTACTGTGTTTCTTCCTATTGTCCATAGGCCTGGAAGGAAGTTTTTGTGTAAAAATTGTATGTTTCCTTCAAGTGTTACCCTGACTCCTGTAGATTTGGGTAAAGATGTGTCAACTCCCAGTTACAGGATGAGGAAGTATGCAGCACAGTTATTTGAATCGACTCTTCCTCTACCCCTTTCCATTCACTGGTGTGTGTGTGGGGTTGCTTTTTCACTTCTGTATGAAGCGGTGCAAGCACAAGGCTCGAAGGAAGGACAGATTCCATTGGAAAGTCAGTAGCTGTCATCAGCTATATAGTGTACATCATAAAAAGTGTAATGAGTATTACAAATTGCATTTCAAAAGAACATCACCGTTATCCTAAATATTCTAGTGGTTACATAAAGGTAGATGTTGACTTGATGTGGACAGGTTGCTTGAATCAAAGCACTTCAAAAGATGCCTGTTTTAAAGTGTTAAATTGGTATGTTAACGGAGCTAACCAGCCTCCAGCCAGAGGTGGAACTGCCTTAACAATAAAGGGAAACTGAAAACAGTGGTGTCCTTTAGGATGAAGGCTTTTAATGGTTTTGTTTGTTTGTTTTCCTGCAAATAAAAACCAAAAACCCACACAAACAAGAAAGTGGAAAAAGAAGGAAATTTGTTGCTCAGTAGTTTGATCTCATGCACTTCACTGTATTGCAGTGCATACTTAGATTCAACAATTTAACTGCTCTTATATGTTCCTCCTTATGTTCATCATATCTTGTACAGATATCTTCTCTCTTGTTCTTCACACCTTCTCTCACCCAGCATCTTCTGGAAAGGGCTGTGTGAGTATGTTAAGCAGAAAATGCAGTGTAAAAACTGGCAACATAGAAGGAAAGGGTGTGAACAGAGAGGAAAATCAACCTGAAAATATTGAGTGATACTTAGCTATTCAATAACCCTTTGATGCATTAAAATGCACTTCTGGAAATGCGTCAATAAAGTGGTATGTGAAAGTTATGGTTAATCTTTAAATGGGTGTTTATTTTGTCTTTAATAATGTCAACTGTAGAATGGCAGTATTTTTGCTGTTTTCTGTGTGCATATGCTGTGGTGTTCCTTGTTTTCCTTGTACTAGACAAGTGCTGGGAAGGTTATACAGTTTGGGTACTGCATGAAACCTACTAGGTCTTAGGAGTTAGCTGTCTCATGAGCACAAATACTGTGTGAATATAAACCTGAAGAAGCAGATGTTTGTAGGCTGTGGACAGCTCTTTATTTATTTATTTTTAAGCATAATTTAAAAGGACAAATAGAGATTTAAAAGGTGAAGGGGCAAAGGCCATTGTAACATCTTCAGAGGACTGTGGAAGTGCATAGCATATCTCAGTGGTTACATCACTGATAAGTTCAGAACAATTACTACTTAGAGTATACTTTGAAAGATGCAGTGCAAATGGAGATGACTTGATCCATGTATTTTCTTGATTCTCCTGAATACCTCTTGGAACAGCTCAGCAACTGGATTAATAATTATTTCCATCTGATTCTTGGCATTAACATTTTTATTAACCCTTTCACTTTCAGTTTGTCTTTCTAAGCTGACCTTCATGCAAAAAAAAAAAGCCCTTGTATTAGTTTTTCATACTCTGAACTCATCTAATTTTCACTGGCCCACGTACATCTAGCTTTTCAAAGTGTAGCTTGGCAGGGGTTGAATTTCAGTTTTCTGGTATGTAGCTTGTGCCAGTGCAGACACTGGGTGTTCCTCCTTCTGTCTTTCAGGCAAAGGGCCAATCTATAGAGAATTGCTTTTTGGCATCCAGGCTCCTCCCTACTCAGTTTTTCAGCTTCCCGCCTTTCTGTAGGTCGACAACAAGAGACTGTTGGCTGAGATTTCTTTACTTGCTCTACTTTGTTCCCTCTGGCCTCTAGAGTTTCCACTGAGCAGAATCAGAAAAGTTGGGCAGAAAGGAACTGCTACACCATGTATCTTACAGATTTATGCATAAGGGCGTATTCATTATGCATAACTTTGGAGCTGGCTTCACATGGAGTCTGTGCTCCTGAGAATGCATCTGAGCACCAGGAAAGTTTCTGTGAAAGAGTGTCTGCAGTGCTACAGTTGAGGAGACTGTAGACATGGGTATGAAAAAA